GGCACAGTTATTATTACCGGTCCATGTGAAAGTGGATGTCGCGGTTAGTTCCAGAGGGACCTGAATGTGTCGGTGTTGTGTGTCCGACTGTTCAGGCAGCGACTGTTTGAGAACCTGCGGATGCTTCCTCACGCCCCTGGAGTTCAGATGCAGGCCATCCCGGAGGACGCCGTCCCAGACGACGCTGTGGACGAGGACACGGAGGACCCCGACAAACGCTTGTCCAGTAAGAACAACCCTTCATTTACCCCACAACCCGTAATATAATAATGTGACCATGTTTATTTACAGTATTTATTATACAAAATTTTATCACTGTTTAAATCCTCCAAAGATGTGTACCAGCAAAACTCATAATAACTCCAAGTAGAAATAATTATAATCCATGAATATGTTTTACACATCACATGCAAAGTGTTGGCATTTCACAGAAGCTTAACTCAACTCATCAGCGGCGGCTGTAACGTTTCTGTCCGTGCTCAAAAGTGACCCCCACCTGTAATGTGGTTTCAGTTCGTGCCACAGACAAGAGGATAGCCTGCGACGAGGAGTTCTCCGACTCCGAGGACGAGGGGGAGGGCGGCAGGAGGAACGTGGCCAATCACAAGAAAGGAGCGAAGAGGCCGAGAGTCGACGAGGACAAGAAGGAAGGAGAGGAGAAGAAAACCGGTGCGTGGTCTCAGCTTAGGCTGTGAGGAAAACAAGGGGAAATGTCTTTTATCTTTTAATGTTATTCATCCGTTCTCTTTTCTCCCCCAGAGATTAAAGAGGAGGAGAAAACGAAGGACAGCAGCGCTGAGAAGACTGACTCAAAAAGGTGATGATCCTCTCCGTTAATATTTGTCTAAGAATATCTTGTGTTTCTGTGTTTACTCTCATGTGCTTCACTTCCTCTCAAGGCGCCTGGATGCTGTTTAAAATTGAGGTTACAATAGTATGTATAGGTATACGCTCATCCCTGCTCAGCCAATCACAAGTGGACAGCTCTCAGTACGTCACTTCACACCTGCCTTTTTTAAAATGCGTGTGGAGTGACCACTCGTGATCAGATCTCTCTCTCTCTCTCTGCTTCTTATGCAAATAAACAGGTTTTTAACGTTGTTGTTTTTTGGCCGGTCCGACTGGCGCATCATCGGCGTGGCACAGGACACATTCACGTTCACGCTGCTAAAGGAATGTGGACGCATGTGATCTTGATTTTTAATTGTTTGTTAGAAGTAGAATGGAGTTATTGGACTGATTCTATAATAAAAGAAAACACACATTTTCTGCTTTGGCCTGGACCAGTAGGTGTGACCACAGCCGTTGATATTCTTAAATCAATAGAATTGCAAATAGACGTAGTGGGATGGTTGTGTATCTATCTAAAGGATATTTGCTTTGAATTAGCATTTGCATTTTAAATCTTTAATTTGGCCGATTTTTATTTAAAATTTCAAACTTGTTTGTCTTTGCCAGTGTGAAGACTGAGCAGACCGGCAGTGCCTGAATCTTCTCTGCGGCGCCGACTCCGACCCTCTCAGTGAATCACCGTCAGAAGCATTATATTTATTATGACTCTCCATTTTCTACCTGTAAATCTCTTGTGAATTGTAAGCTTCTCCCTTTGTGTAGTCTATCAGTGGATCTCTCCATGTCCACCGCTTGTTTGTTTGTTTTTTGACTCGTGTCATTTGATAACCATGAAACCAACTTATTCCAATGTGCTCGATCTTCTGAAGGAAACGTTGACTTGTTTGTTTTTATGAAGCTGCGGGGGGATCTGTAGACGAACCGGCAGCAACTCGATGTTTAAATTTTGATATTTTGCATTTGTCAGTAAAAACTTTTTTTTTATACTATTCCCTTGAAAATGTGTGTTAATTTTATCTGTGGGGGGGGGGCAGGTCTGAGCTGCGTGTAATGAACATGTACGGCCACATGGGGGCAGTCTGACCCAGGAGATAGAGGAACATCTGAAGGTACAGGTGCAGCGTTGATGGTTGGAAGCATACTCTGTTTATTTACAGTGTTGGGACGGGTACTTTTTAATAGGTTACAGTTCTTACTGATCTTAGGGATCAACTGGCAACTGATTAAAGTTGAAGTTGTCTGTCAAGGTATGTGTTATTTGTTCGTTTAACATGCCAAATTAAAAAGTGATGCTTGCTCATTAGGTCCCAACAGGAATATTTCCTTCGTAGCTGTTAAACAAACTTTATGTGTAGGAGACGCACCACGGTCCCTGAGGGGGAAACTCCTGGCTTGATACACTGACAGGTAAGGTAACTAAAGAAGTAAAAGTCTTTCATTATAGCATTAGGTTAAACTTTGATAATCCAGGTTCATGCTAAACTAGCCTGGAAGTCGACTGAGGTGGGATGATGTTTGCATCTGCTAGTTAATTCAGTCTGCATCTCTACTGTGACGCACCTGTAACCTTCACTATGAATCGCTCACCTTCCACTTCCTGTTCTGGTCACTGACGTAAAATAACGCCGATGCTGTAGACTGACACTGCTGCATGTTTAAAAGCCTTTCCCTCACTGCACTCTCCAGGTTCAGAAACTCACTTTTCCATTTTAGTAAGTCGTAACACAGACAGCGAGGTTTGTCAGTCATCAACCTGTAGAACTTGTTTACATTAACTTTCAAGGCTTCATTTACTTTCACTGCTGCAGGAAAGCTGGAAGTTCTCCACTTTCTCAATCCCCTAAAAACTCCCTGTTTACTATGACATTCACATGATTTTCCAGGTTACTACTTACCTTTTGGACTGTACAAGGTTATTCACTGAACACGAGCTGCTGAAACTTCAGTTAAAAACTGCAGAAACGGTCGTTTGAAGTGTTTGTACAAGCTGATTTTATGACATCACGACCAGTTTGAAGCCGGTCTCCGTCACATACGCAACCCTCCAGGTCGCAGTCACCGGGCTTTATACTGAAGTAGGAGGCGTCTTGCGTCCAGCTCTTAAACTTTTGAAATGAACAATGTTTGCATATCCATAGGTTCTGGAGGAGACGTAAGTTTAGGAATCTCTCTCTCTGTGATTGAACCACGTCAGCTGAGTATTTTCATATGTCTGAGAACACGCCTGGAGGGGAGCTTTAATGCTCCAGCATATTATGTTATTCTCTTACATGATGATACCCCAGTGCACAGCGTCAGGTCCGTAAAGAAATGGTTTTCCCAGATCCTGGACCAAAACCCCGTCCAACACCTTGGGGATGAACAGGAATTGCAGCCAAGTTCAGGAATCTGGAGGAAAAAACACCTCAGGCCAGAAGGGCGGAGGCTGTTGTTGTAGCAGGACATTAACGCCCACAGGTTTGCTCAGCACACTATCACATGTTGGTGTAATGCTTATGTGTCCATGTACTTTTGGCCATGTAGAGTAGTTTAGCGCTTCAGCTTTTGTCTCGCTCCTTTTTATATTCCTCAAACTGTAACATCTGATTGTATAAGGTGAATTTAATATTCATACCCTGGATTTCGTCTTGAAGGAAATCATTAAAAGTCCCATATAGTCTAAAGGTCTCTGTCCATGTGTAGTGTGATTATAGATCAGCTCTAGCTTCTATATTAATACTGTGAAAGTATCAAAGCCTCAGTCCACAGAGAAATGCACACAGCCTGTATTCAGAAACTGAGCCTTAAAACCAGCCGTCAGGACTTCTGGAACTTTGTGATGTCACACTGAAACAGTCACCGCTCTCAGCCGTGCCCCAACGTCGCCCACCATCCAACCTTTGCAGGATTTGGTTTCTCTGAGTGTTTTTACCTGAAATCTGATATTTTTTTTTATTGGATCACTCAGAAAACAATCAGCCAATCAGAAGAGAAGCACAGAGCATCCTCTCCTCTGATTGGCTCACCGTCCTGTTGTTACTACAGCTCCGGGTAGAAGTCTAAGAGAGGAGATGTAAAACTACACTGAGATGGTTTTTGGTTCTTAAAATGTAAAACACGGGACCTTTAATCCACTTAAAAGCCGACTGAACCGACCAGTGTTAATTACATAAATAACGACAGATGCGGCTCAAATTTTATTCACATTTATTTTTGCTTTTAGTGTGCTCACAGAAAATTAGAACACCTTAAGCAGAGGAGTTTAATAGCATTTTGTTGTAAGCAAAGTTACATTCCATCTCTAAGTCAAATTGGTCAAAGCTTCTCCAGTATTTACAAAAGAAAAAGAGAGAAAGAGAGAGAGAGACAAGATGCTACACAAACATTTGCATCTGATAGGTTCCTTAAATTTTGTCAAAGACCACTGAAAAAGCATTGCCTGCTGTAATCAAAAAAACATACCACAGTATATAAACAGTTAACCATTCCACTTATCACAGCTTGGTTTTTGAGTTCAAAAAAATTGCTTACGAAGGTCTTCCAGGATGAATTCTTCTTCTTCTTCTCTTTTTTTTTGTGTGTGTTGTTGTTGTTGTTGTTGTTGTTGTTGTTATCTTACAAAAATGAGCGGGTGGAAAAAAGAGCTGCAAACTTCATGTGCTTCTTGAGATCAAAGATTTCATTTTGTACAATAATCACAGTTAAAAACACCCCGCCTATACATACTTACATTTTTTTTTTTTTATTAAGGTCATAAAACCAACAATAAACAATAAAGCCTATACAACTTGTATTTTCTACTGAATCACTGACTGGTACAGCTAATGAGAAGTGAAACGCTCCTATGAGTTTATATGACTTCCTAAAAAAAAAAACCTAACTCTGGGATCCTTTTTGTTGTCTTATCGTAAAAATGACTTAGTGTTGTAAACCGTATGGTGTTTATAGATGTTGGTCTCTTACTTTTTTCTTTTTTTTTTTTTTTTTAAGACTACTCTTTTCACAATAGTCTTCGGCACATTTCCCAGGCCCCCCTTCCCTCACCTCCCCCCTGCCCTCACCTCCCTCCCTTCATTTACAGCTCAACCCCTCCGTCTCCTTCATACCGTGGGCATGTCCATACCATTTTGTTTACATTTTGTATAAAAATTCAAAAGAAATTCAAAAAAAAAAAAAAAAACTTAATACTGATGAAAAAATATATGGCAGAGTGTGGGTGTATGTAATCTGTTGTACATATTGAAGCCACCCACCTTCCAGGCCCATGGGGATGGACTGAGATGGGTTTTGTGTGAGAGGGGGGGAAATGGAAACCAAAAAATAAAGAAAAGCTTTAAAATATCCCTGGTTGTCGACAAGTTCTTCAAAGCCAGGACCTGGCGTCACTCCAACATACAAACAGGGAAATGTTCTTTGATTATCTTTTTTCTCCTTTTTTTTTTTTTTTTTTCGATTTCTTCTTCTCTCCAAACTTATTCGGCGGCCTCGGCAGCCGCAGCAGCAGCCGCCAGAGCCTCTGCTGATGCTGCTTCCTGTGAGGCCGGGGCGGCCTCCTCTGTTTTGGGCGCCTCCTCGGCGGCGGGCTCAGCAGGTTTCTCCTCCGGCTTTGGCTCCTCGGCGGGAGCGGCCTCCTTGGCCTCCTCAGCAGGTTTCTCTGCTGGTGCTGCTGCTGCTGCTGCTGCTGGTGCTGCTGCCTCCTCTGGCTTGGCCTCTACCTCCTCCTTGGCCTGCTCTGCAGCAGGTGCGGCCTCCCCCTCAGCGGCGGGCTTGGCCTCCTCAGTAGCAGCCTCCACTTCCTCTGTGCCCTCCGCCTTGGCCTCCTCTGTGGACGCCGCTGCAGCAGCCGCCTCCTCGCCCTCAGCCCCCTCTCCTGTTTCCTTTTTGGTCTTCTTGAAAGAGAAGCCACTGAGCTTGAAGGACTTCTTGAAGGAGAATCTCTTCTTCTTCTTCTTGGGGGTCTCGTTGCTGGTGGAAGGTGCAGCGCCGTCCTCTGCCTTCGCCGCCTCTCCCTCGGCGGGAGCAGGAGCTGCTTCCTCTACCTTCTCCCCGTTTGCGGCCTCTGCCTCAGCGGGGGCAGCTTCGGCCTTCTCGGCCTCCTCCTTGGGGGTCTCCTCGGCTGTGGCGCTGCCGTTGGCCTGCACCTCCTCTTTGCCGTTCTCGGCCGCCGCAGGAGAGGCATCCCCGTTCGCTTTGACGTGACCATTTTCCTGAAAAGAGAAACAGTGGCTGTTAATGCCATGCACAGAGCTGGCATGGTGTCAAGCCTCCAGCTGGACAGTGCCACAGATGGACGCCAGGGGCAGCAGACACCAGCAGATCAGCAGTGACAAAAGCAGAGGGACTCCGGCTCAGACTCACTCTTTACTTTCAGCAAAAACACACGCTTCACCTGGGAATCAACACACACACAAACACACACACACACACAAAAACAACAGCAGTGAATCACACTCAAACACGCGCATGTTCGCTCGGTGTTTCCTGCCTGGATAACAATCCACACTCAGACCGGGAGCGCGCGCAGTGACTCCACTGGATCGCAAGGGGTCGGTGCAAGGCCGCGGAGCGCCAAAGCAAAGCAGCTGCTCATTAAAACAGCAGATGCTCATTAGTCCCGCACATCACAGAGAGCAGGGTTCACGTGCGTTTCCTAAAAAAAACAGCTAAAATCTCAACGAGGTTCTTAATTGTTGATTTTGTTTTTCTCCTCGCTAAAAGAAAAACTTTAAAAATTTGAGCTGCTGAGACCAACACGAGTCTCTGGGGAGGGGAGGGGAGGGGAGGAGAGGGGGGGTGCACCGCTGGCCCCCGGAGCCTGTCTCTCCCCTCCCGTGTGAGATAGCCGACTGCCATCTCCACTTTCTAGTCGAGCATCTGTAACAAAAGGCGTGGTGCTCGGAGCGCACTCAGCCTTTTGTTGACGTCGAATCTCGTCTTATTCAACTACTTCACAAATTTACGACGAAGAGGGGCGTCTTCACCCAAAACCCCGAGCAGGTCACAGTCACACTGAGATTATTTTAGGAGGAAATTCACCAACCAGCTACTGACAACATTTCATTCAAACCGAACCATTCAGAGTGATCAACAACAAAAGGTTCAACCGAACCGGCTTCTTCTTCTTCTTCTTCTCCCTCAAAAATAAAAGCTAATTTCTCAAATTCCCTTGAAACATCCGCTCAGTGTCGCGCTGTGAGAAAAATCAAATATCAAACGATCAACTGTTGCTCATGAAGTAAAATAAATTCATATTTGAAAAAATAACAAGTCTCTCCATTTTGTTTCAACTCTTCCATTCAATCTATCCACAATTACGCACGGATTGCGCCCTCAGTGCGCAGCCCCCCACCCCCCTCCTCCTCCCTCCCTCCAGAACAGACCACATTCCCCCCCCCCCTCACCACCACCTCTGATGGATGCACCGAGCTGGATGTTAAAATATCATTTACCTGTCCGTTGGTCTTGGTGGGTGAAGCAACAGCCTCTCCCGGCTTCTCCGCCGCGGTTTCAGCCTTTCCAGCTGTCTTGGACAATTGCGCTCCCATGCTTTTCTGCTCCAACAAAGAAACTCAACTGATCCACACAAAAAAAAACCCGAACAAAGACCCACAAGCCTCTTTGTTGAAACGCAAAAGCTCTTCGCTGATGTCCCCCTTTCTCTCTCACTCTCTCCCTCTCTCTCCCTCTCTCTCTCTCTCTCTCTGTGTGTGCACAAAGAAAAAAGTTCACAGGGAAAATATAAAGCAAAGTCCAGTTATGAGTGAGGAGGATTTTTTTTTTTTTTTTAAATAGCAGGAAAACGCTGGCAGGTGAGGAGAAGTAATAAAATCCCAGTCCGGTGGCCGTGTCGCTGTAGACAGGCTGCAAAATGGAGAAATTTCCCTTGTTGCTAATAAGATGCGGAGTCCAACGCCCAAGTGCAGAGATGAATGGGCGCTCCGAGCGATGACGGCACCGCACTCAGAATCGGCCAATCACAGCCTCCTCTCGGCGAGTGGGCGTGGTTAGGGAAAAGGGAGTGAACAATAGATTGTACCGCTGCGTTCATGGCGCGTAGAAATAATGGGATTTCAATGAGCAAACATTTAACTAAATCAATAGCATGGCTTCTTACTGAAGCGAAAACATTAATAGAAAGTATTAAACACGTACAAATATTATTTTTTCCCTTCATTTATGTTATCATAGTTTGATGAACTGAATGTAACTGGAGATTGAATAGTGTTGTAAACTGATACACTTTGCTCATATAGGTCTTCTCTGCATCACAAGCTGTAGATCCTGTTGTCCATGTAAAGAAAATCTAATCAAATCACATTTAAAACAACCAGAGATGACCAAAGTGCTGTACAATAAAATACAAAGAAATAACATGAAGTGGTTTGAGCCAAAAGGAAACGAAAGCAAGGAGACTTTTGAGATGACTTGACCTGTCCCAACAGTCAGAGACAGACAGGGAATATTTTGAAATAAAAACAAAGGGGATAAAAGTGAAAGATAAAACCTCAGGGAAACTTAGAAACCAGAGAAAACATGTGCGTTTTGAGTTTATTCCTAAAAATGTCCACAGAGGGGAAACACTTCATTAAAAGAGGTAAACTTTTGGGCAGGTACTGCTACAGCCCGATCACCTTTACCCCTCAGCCTGGACCAAGGGACTTTGGTTGGATGACTAGTTATTAGGAACCCATGAACACTCCTTGAATAGCAGTTAATATTTTACAGGCAAACTTCACCGTGCTCCCAAATCAAAACGCAGTAATCGTGCTGTTTTGTTGTTTCGTACACAGAATTTTAAGGCCTGAAAAAAGATCTCTGTGATGAAATCATTCATTTTGTGCTTTGACGTCACACGTCAGCAGCAGACAGCCACTCCTCATTCAAAAGTCACTGTGATACTTATTCCCAGTGGGAAACTCAAATGTACAATTTTTTCTGTGTGCATTTAATGCAGCACTGAAAGATTGTAAGGTGAAACTTGAAATGTTCAAATTCTCTGCTACATAATATATATATATATATATATTATTATATATATATATATATGAAATAACTGAACTTAATATAATTTTTTTTAATATAATCAAACACTTAAACACATAAATTTTATATTTATCCAGTTTCAGGACCTGGGCTGACTGAAGATTCAATTCACTTCAATTTGATTCAATTCAATAAACTTTATTCGTCCCCAAGGGGAAATCTGAAGAGCACACAGAATAGACATTAAAAAAGATACACAAATACACAACAAAGAACACACAAGCAGTGCAACACAAACTGAGCACATGAAGAAAACAATGACAATGTCATGAAGAACCAACATCAGTGCAATATGACATAATGTTGTTGCAGTAATGCTGTTCTAACCACTCACCTGGGCAGGTTTCTGTTTGCCTACCACAGACTGAGCCACCACCTGCATCCACTTTGTCAGGAATCATTTGCATTAAGATGTGATCAAACAAACAAGAGAGGCAGGAGGAGAAAAGATGGAGGGATGGGGAAGGACAGGGGTTTCTGTTAAAAGATGCTGATCAAGTTTGGTTGGTTTCGGGAACTTTCACAACTAAACAACAGTTGAACAAAGCCCTACTGTATGTGTGTTTGTGTGTGTGTGTGTGTGTGTAGAGGCAGTAGAGGGGTTGGGGGGGGGGGGGGGGGGGGGGGGGGGGGGGGGGGGGGGGGGGCACACCCGGTTCAGCCTTGTTGATGACCATGTGGTGCACCCCATGGGAAAGGTTGTGAGTGTTCAAACAGGTCCCTCAGCCCCCATTTGCAATGCAAATCCAATCGGAGAGGCAGAGTCAACTGTCCCCCGCTGCACCGAGACTCCTGGAGCCAGAACCAGCAGAGGTGGGCTTCCTGCACCAGCGTCTAATGTTACAGAGTGCAATGCAAAGCAGCACTGCTGGGCCACGCTCACCTGAGATGCAAATCACATTACTTCATTCAGGTTATTTGGATGACTTGTGTTTTCCACCTGCAGTCGTGTGTCCTGCCTGAGAGCCAATGAGCAGGGCGTCAAATACATGGGGTCAACAAAACAAATACCAAAAGCGATACCTGACATTCAAATTTAGTCCAACACAGCAGCTCAAACTGTGACCTCTAAACTTGGCATAAAATTCTCCACTTACTAACTTTTTCTGGAGCTTTCAACCACATTTTACGACCAGAGACTGAGGCGAGAGGAGACGCTGTATTTACAATCATTTCCTGTATCTGTGTCACATGGTCTCTCCTCCTCCCCGCCTCTTTAGGAGGCCAGTCTATTCACTCCAATGGGAGAAGGGAACTTGATCCCTGAGTATGATTCTTAATAAATACCGGATCAATTTTCAGAGGATCTTTGTTACGGTCTTCATCCAACTTTACAAGCTCCATCCACTGGTTTTCTCTGTGCGTCTGCAGGTGGAGATGAGACACCTGGTCCTCTCATGATCATTGGATCAATAGAATGACTCATCTCACGCTGTCTGAAAATAATCAAAGATTACATAATTTGAAATCTCTATTACATCTTAAATTACCTGGTTGATATACAAAATAAATGAATAAATAAAAACAATTTTGGTGCATCATCAGTCACCCTAGATCAAAAATACACTCGTACAAGATTGTTTGATCCTCTGTGGCAGTAAACTGAATATCTTGGACTGGTCTGGCCAGACACAATAAAGAAAAGATGTCCCTGTTGGTCTGTCTTCATAGTCACTAAATGATTCATAATTTTTCTGGAAAACCCCAAAGAAAGCCCCTCTCATTCTTTGTTAAGGAGCAAATGAAACTGTATTTCTGTGGAAAATGAACCTTTCCAGTAAAGAGGAAACCAAAGGACTTCCTGAAAAGCAACTCCACAGAGGATTCTCTTAAACAAGAATTGAGTCTGTATATATTATACATTTTGTTCCCAAACTTTTGCTATTGAACTTTTTTATTCAGTAATTTTTGAGGCTCAATGTCCACTTAAAACATGATAAACTGTGGCTTCAAACATTATGACTTATCTTTATTATACAGCACATTTGAATTTAGCCTTTTCTTTAGTTTTCACCTCAACAACTTGGTCGCTATCAGTAGCAGTTGGACCAAGTTGCTTTGAAGGAACTAAAAGATAATTTTCATCATCGATTATCTTTTCAATGAATCAATTAATTGCTTGGTCTATAAAATGTCAAATAGTGAAAAGTCTTAATTTTTATTTCCTGGAGCTCAAGGTGACATCTTCAGAACCTAAAGATATTCCGTTATTGGACAAATAAGAGAAAAGAAGCACAAACCCACAAATATTTGGCAATTAATCAATTATGAAAATAGTTTGATTACTGTTCATCAATTAATCGATTAATCGTTTGAGCTCTATGTCTAGGTAACATACATAGTAACCTAGCACAGTGACACGGTTTCGTCTTTTATATCCTCTTAGAGCCCACCTGTTTTAAAACTAATTTGCATCAATTGCCATATGGAAATGTAATAAGCTTATAACAGAAGAACTGTAAGGCCAAAATGCATTTATTAGACCAGATTTGAAAAGTAACATATTCTAGTTTATGAAAATATGCTTGTTTTGCGTTTGACTACAACCCAACCTAAACTACATCAGCTCATACATGGTATTTGTTTTGTATTTTTCAGTCCTCACCTGTATAAATAAGTCACATTACATAACTACCAACAGGATATACTTTATGCATAAACAATAAAAAAACTCCACAATACTTCTTCATTTTGTTAAAAACTGCTCTGTGAAGCTTCAAGGCATAATAGTTTAGTTTAGTAAGCCTTTATAGTTCATTTTTTCACTGGTGCCCATAAACCGCTTTAACTCTTTAATATGAAATAATAGAAGAGATACTGAAGCATTTTGATGCCTAATAAACTTTTTAGAGCCATTCAAAACAAATCTGATCCCTGTCTGTGTCATACAACTCAGCATGCACGCTCCCAGCTGCCTATTGGCTCTGCATTTGAAGAGCCCACCCCCCTAGTTTGCTCTGATTGGTCAGGAGAGACGTCTATCCACAAGCTAGAGTCGTTCAAAAAAGCTGTGAAAAAAACAGGCTTTTCCCAACGGAGAGAACACGTCATTACGTCTTACACTCGTTACGCTCGTTACGCTCGTTACGCTCGCCTACGCTCGCAGTCTTCCCCGATGTCCCGGAAGTGAAATCTCTACTCCGACATTACAGGGAGGCGCCATTTTGTAGCCAGAAAGCTAACAAACAGTAGCAGACCCGCTGATGGAGCCGGATGGAGGGAGAGAGAGAGGAGAAGTGAGGGAACAGCAGCGGATACAAATCGCTCGGTCGTCTGCTTTGGACTTCTCATGATGATATTCAAAACCTGGAATATTTTTTATAAGGAATCCTTTTGATTTTCGTGACCCGTGGACCATTACGGACTAAAAGAAAACAACTAACGGACGAATGGAGAAAGAATCAGAGTTCTACACGTCTGAGGTAGGCAGTCACTATGCTCTGCTGGTACAGGATGCTGATATTAATAAATCATATTAATGTGCTTATGTTTAGCTCAAAGTGAACCGGATATTTGAATTCTAGAGACTCTAACGGACCTAACGCGGTACAGTCTGTTTATATTGACAAAGGTTTAAGCGTCAGAACACTTTCACAGCCTTCTGCTAGGCCCATACATGGGCTAGCGGGCCGCAACAGTTATATTTGCATTTATTTCAAATTTGGTGTGTCTGATGTTGTTAATACAACTAAATAATCATTATATCTGTACATTTTATTATGAATTTAAAATGAGCTTCAGAGATCGGAATACTTGTCTGCTGTATTGGGTTTTTTTTAATCAGTGGTAAAAGTTATAAAAACAACAGTAACTTGTTTATTATTTCTGCTGCTTAGCTTCCTTTTCATGTTTGTTGT